CCAGGTTTTCTACCTTATAACACTTTGGGAATTTATCTACGTTAATTTCCATTTACTCTTAGGCTGGCCAGTTCTCCAAATATTGCTAAAATCTGCTACCAAAAGCATTTAGCTGAGCAGCAGATCCCTCATTCCTTGGAATGACTAGCATCAGCTTTCCAAAACCTTTTCAGAGTTATTTGAGAACTGAAGCCAAGATCTATTGCTTGAAAAACATACATAGGTAGTCCTCGACTTACAACCACAATCAAGCCAAAAATTGCAATGGCTAAGCGACAGAGTTAATTGAATTCTGGCCCATTTTACAGTCACAGTTGTTAAGTGAATTACTGAAGTTGTTGAGTTAGTAACACGGTTGTTAAATGAATCTGACTTTGCTTGTCAGGAGGTTGCAGAAGTTGATCACATGCAACCATCATAAATATTTGTCAGTTGCCAAGCATCTGAATTTTGATCACGTGACCATGGGCTTGCTGTAATGGTTGTAAGCACGAAAAACAGTCATAGGTCACTTTTTCAGTGTAACTTCAAACTGTCGCTAAATGAACTGTTGTAAGTTGAAGACTGCCTGTACTTTTGAAGTCTGATTTACTTCAGAATAAACTATATTAACATCAATTGAAAAGGAGAGGGTGTGTGTGAAGAATTCTAGTTCACTTAAGTGGAGCTGTCCACAAAATGCAGAAGACTATGAGCTGCCATGGTAACTTCTTTGTGGTGACTTTGTGAAAGACAATTTTCTCCCTTGCTTTGATTCCTCCCCCTGCCTGCTTGCTGTTCTTTGTCTTGGACAATTGCCAACACTTTCCGCCAAGCCAGATTTCTCAGTAACAATTTTATTTCCATTCTTCTTGTCATTGTACATTGTGATCAAACACTTTTCTCGGTTGTCAAGCTATTTATTGCCTTTTATGTAGCAAACCAGTACAAAATCAATATTGAATGGAACATGGAATGAAAGACACAATGTCTTCCCTCTCCATCACACATTGTAAGAATGGGCAGCATGTCAAAGCAAATTCTTAGTTTCTTCTTCTTCTGGATTTGATGGAATGACGGATTCTCATTCATTCAGCTCCACCTAGTCGACTCGGCCCTACCCCAGATAAATGGATCATGGGTCGTAAAAAGGAGAGAAAAAAATGAAGTGGTAGAATTATAATTTTTAATGATTGTAATAGACTATAATTAGTAACTTTCACACACGACAGGTCTTCAGATCTTTAGCTGAAAATATTTGAAGTAGAAAAATAAGATTTGGCTACTAAAATGTGACAATTCTCTGAAAATTGTGTTTGCTGCCAATTCCATTTTCTATGCAACAGTACAAATGATGTGCATGCAATGTATATATTGTTACATGGCTACTTTACTCTAAGATGCATAAAACAAATACATTTGCTTTACTTTGTACCACACATAACCAGCCTTTGGATCCAAATAGTTTCTGAAGTCGAGAGAGACTCCATTCTTTGCTTTTAACCCACTAACCAATTATGATCCGATGGTAAACAAAACAAAAATAGCATATTTCCTTCTCTCTTTTTGTTTCTGCCTTTGAGTCAGTTTCTGACTCCTGGTGACTGTTTGGACTAATCCCTGTAAAAAAATTTTTTTGGGGGGGGGCAGGATTTTGAAAGTGGCTTGCCCTTGCCAGCTTCCTAGGGTAGTGAGAGAGGGACTGGCTCAAGGTCACCCAGCTGTCTTTGTGCCTAAATCAAGACTAGAACTCCTGGTCTCCCAGATTGTGGCCTGGTGCCTTCATCACTTCATTAAACTGTCTCTCTTCATTATTATGAGCCATGGAGGCATAGTGGATAGAGTGCAGTACTGCAGGCTATTTCTGCTGACTGCTGGCTGCCTGCAATTTGGCAATTCAAATCTCACCAGGCTCAAGGTTGACTCAGCCTTCCATCCTTCCAAGGTAGGTAAAATGAGGACCCAGATTGTTGGGGGGAAAATGCTGTCTCTGTAAACCACTTACGAGAGGGCTGTAAACAGGGGGTGGGATCCGACCGGTGTAACTACCGGCTTGGTGATTTATTTTTGCATGCGCAAAATAACCGGTTCTGTGTCTGCTGCTCTTCTTCAGAGCTACCGGTTCTACAGAGCCGGACAGAACCGGTAGAATCCCACCCCTGGCTGTAAAGCACTATAAAGCGGTATGTAAGTCTAACTGCTATTGCTATTACTAGGGGGACATGAATGACGTATCTATATGAATTAGCTATGGACAATGGTTCTTTGTGAATATAGTATGTGTGCAGATTCTTATTTTTGGCCTTGCTGAAATAGGAGCTAGAAAAGGATTTTATTTTCTACCTTTTGTGACCCAGGCCAAGGCCAAGAAAAGAAAGAAGGTTGAGAAACAGCTTTATTGGAAGTTTCATTGCTTTCCTTTTGGGGGGTCGGTTGCTTAGTAGTTCAAATGCTAAACCAGGTTTTTTCCCCCCCCTTTACATATTCAAAAAAAACTTCCATAGCTTGCGACACAGCATCTACAGCCCCCAATAAAACAAAGATATGAATAGCCTACTATGAGTGGATGGGGTGGATTTCATACATTTGAAATGATTCAGGAATGAATTCCAAATGAAGGCTGACAAGAGAGTAATGGGAATGAAATTGTATTAAATAAATTATTTAAATTAAATTATCCCGATAACCACAGTTGACTGGTGGCTATAGAGGATATGGTAGGTTTGTTTGGCTTGTGTGAGATAACCAGCTCTAATAAGTCCACACACACTGCCCAAGAAAGCTTAAAAAGGCCAATCATCTAAATTGGGACAGCTCGCACTCATTTATAGTTGCTATGACAACCAGGCTTTCATATTCGAGACTGTAACATTCCAGGAGCAACTTGGGCTTTGTGAATGAAAGTACGCATGCCCTGCGGTAAATCGCATTATACAATGTGGAGCTGAAGGTCAAAGAGGGAGAAATCCACCCAAATGCATGCGGAATAGAAAATAATGCTAATAAGATCCCAGTGAGCACTCACCCACCCCCCAATTACATTTTTTAACCTAGGAATTTGCTTTCATGTTATTAAAATGCTTTCTGCGTTGTCATTTTTTCTGCAGCTCATTGCAACCTGCAACTTATTCAAACTTCCCAGAGCAACCTCGCGGACTTGCCTGGAGTATCGTCAGCGTGCTGCAGTGCAGTGCAGGTCTCCTGACTTCAATTTTGCATTTGACTGACAAAGTGAGGCTACCCTGCCATGTTGATTTTTCGGTCAACGCCAGGCAATGCGTGCATTCCATTAAATACATGCACGCAGACACAAATCTCAACCTAGAAAACGCTGACCCTCAGTGAAGTGTCGATAGTTCACCTTGAACATTAAGACATTGGTCATAACGTCAGCTTTGGGGACCGAAGGGGCTCCTGTTTAGCCACAGAGTGTTCAAGGAAGAGAAGGCTGCATTGATTATATATTAGCCTTTATTCCACCTGAAGGGAAGGGCTGAGGTAACATAAAATTGGAAGGAGGAAGAGGGAGAAGGCAATGGGGGGGGAGGGAAATCAAGATCTAATCTTACGAGACAGGCTTCACATCTTGCACTTAAAACATGGCTTAATATACGTATCACATTTTATCGAATGAATCTCATTGGGAGGGGTTCATATAGCATCCTTCATCAAAACCAAGCAACTGCGTTACATCTCAGCAAAAAGCGGAGAGGCCACCTTCACCTAGAAACAGGTGGTGTGTATTTTACTCCATAAGTTTTGGCAGGGGTCTGTTCTCCGAGCTTATTGTTTAGCTCCCCCGCTGCCAAAAACTACACCCTGAGCCCCGGATATTCTCAACAATTGCTCCATAATGTATTTTTTTAAAATAATAGTTGGATAAGGTATATATGATCTTAAGAGAAACCATTTGGCTAAGAGCTAGTGTTGTTGAATAATACACTTCTATTAGGAACAAAAAAAAATCAAATTGTAAATATTGAGTGAGCTTTCAGGCTGCACCATCATATCTGACTTGAAATTTTTATGCCACTCTGCAAAAATTTTCCATCTGCCTGACTTCCCCCCACCCACCCAAATTGTAACAGCTTACATTCCTAGGAAAAGGGAAAAAAAATAAAAATATTCAACTTTTCTATTGCCTAAAGAATTTCCCCCATTTCGTATGTTCATTGGATCAAAATTATTCCCCTCAAAAATCTTTGGGAAACTAAGGCGTAAATGTAAAAGGGACTTATTGTTCTGTTAAAAGTTAAGTCAAATTTATTTCTGGTCCAAACATTCCAGAATAAATTATCATTACTTAGTATTACTGAATATCCAATTTACATCACACTAGAAAACACCCTGAAAAATTCTAATATGATTAATACTGGGAATAGTACCCTGGTGGTGTCAGAGCGCTGCAGACCCGCCAAACAATGGGTAGGTTTGCCAGTTTGCGAGACACCATTAACATCCTAGCTTTTTTAGAGTGGTGTGAATATCTGCAAGGAAAAACTGAGGTTAGGTGAGGAATACTGGCCACAGATGGGCTGCACTGACATCTACACGTAATGTGTGCATATTATTTATTATATTGTGATGCCTGATACTGTACGTCAGCATTCATCAAGCTTTCTGGCTGGCGGACCAGCGGAGGAGGGGAGGGGAGGGTTACGCGGATGCACACCGCTTTCACCAATGCAGCTGTGCACATGCATGAACTCACCCACGCCCTGTTCCGAAGAGGCTGCAGCCAGGCACCAGGCTACAGACTGAGGGTTTGCGACCCCTGCTGTATATGACGTGGCATTTAAGTGTTTTCGCCATTTGTCTCATCTTACAATCTAAAATGAATGATTGTCCATGAGGTACAAATGGACACAACTCCTACTGATTACAATTCATAATTTGAAAATGGAAAACAAAAACGGAAATGCGGGCGAGACGATCTTAAAACTGATCAACCTGTGAATTGCGTCAATCATTCATGCCAAAAAAAAAAAAAGGAAAAGAGGAGAGAAAGAGGAGCCTTTACTCACAGATAATGACGGTAGACTTTTATTAACATATTTTACAATATTGATTATTGTAGTTTTAGTTTTACATGTCAATTCTGTTTCTACAGTAATGTACTGTACTTAGATTTCCATTCATACAAGTTATCTCACCAGACGCTGGAAGAATAATAGCAGCAGCAGCAGCAGAAGCAGCAGTACACACAGGCCGTTCTAGCTTGGACCTGTTACGCTCTCCAAGTAAGTTTAATAAAGCAGATTTTTAAGAAGTTACGGGAGGAATCCAACTTCTGTTTCAGCAGCATGCAGGCATATTTCAAGTAGGATTTCCAAACAAGTGTCTCATCTTTTGCCTTTAAACTGACCGGTGACTAATGCACTGGTATCAAAATGAACATTGTGAAATACCAAGGTTTCAAAGTTAAGGCGAATAATTTTACTTCACAGCCATATACACAATCAAAAACATTCCATTTTAAATAACACGTTTTAGTCATTTTCTGAAAACATTATCTCTTGTGAAGTTTCAAACTATACAGAGGAGAAGCCCTGTCATGGTGTTACGCCATGAGATGCCCAGGATATTTCGTCTTATCCTCATAAAATGGCTTGGTTCTCATTGGTGAACAATGCAAAAAGAAGAGAGAAGGACCAGGAGAACTTTGGATGTATTGACAAATCAAGTCATGTTTTAGACCAAAAATTTTTTTTTTTCCTCCAGTAATAATGGAACAATATACAGATTTGTAGAAATACTCCCAATATTTGCATTCATGTCTTTGTCTACACAATTTTTGATAAAATATATTGCCATGTACTGTATTTTTTTAAAAACCGAAAGGGCTTTGAAGATCCATACACAAATAATCCCACAGCCTGGCCCATGTGCTTTTCTAAAGCTGAAGAGAAAGCAGCTTTCAATCAAATGCAAGGTTTTTATAATGAGAACACATCTTTAAAAATAGTTTCCAGGTAAAGGCTTTTTTTTCCCCCCAGGAAAAAAAAAATTATGCATGTAAATGTCACAAAAGCCTGACAGCATTGAAATTGTCAACTCTGCAAGAAAGAAGAAAAGCGTTTTGGCAGCGAAATATCAGCACTGAAAAGTTCTGCCTGCCTGTGTGTTTCGTTTTTGGTAAGGATGCCCATTCTGGCTGATTTCAAATTCCTCAAAACCAAAAACGCTCTGATCCTAATTTCTACCACACAAAGGCCTGCTCACATCCTCCCAACCTGTGTCTAAATCAATTGGTGCAACCAGATACATACACTGACTCCTCTGTGTAAACTGGGAGTCAAAGGCTGGGAGGGTGAAATTGGGGGGCGGGGGGGTTTTGACTCTGCCAATCATAGCCTTGCTTTGAAGCCTTGACTTCTCCACTGCCTTCTAGATCAAAGCATCCTTCACTTGAGATGCAAAGGGGGAAGGGGGAGAGATAGGAACCATTTGAGCATGGCCATCTTGCAACTCAATTCCTTACGCCAAGCTGCTTGAAACTCAATTAAGTTTCCAAATAACAGTCCGCTGGCAAAATAGTCACAAAGCCTTCTCCTTCACCTATCAATCTGAAAAAGTCAGCTAAAGGAAATGAGGCGAAGGGCATGCTTGGCTAGGCCAAGTGTCTGACCATGGGGAATATTTGTTGCATGTACACAGGCAGTTGAATAGATGCCTTGGGATTTCTTTGTAATCAAATTAACTGAAACGTCAGACACAACATTGTGTACACGTTGTATTATATTCAGAGTGGTAAACTATGTATTTTAAAGCTATTTCACTAATCTCTGGAGTATATTTATGAAATTCCTGAGAATGAATAAGGTTTTCAGCAATGCCTGAAACTATTTCAATAGCTCTCTGGCAATAAGCGAAATATTTTCTAAAAATCTTTTAGACATTTCTATACAGTTTCACAAATTGAAAGTGTTACAACTCTTACATACTTACAAATGCATATTGAGCAAAATCTTAAAACACAAAGAAAAGAGAAAGAAAAAAAAAAGGAGCTGCATGTTTAGCAGGTGCCTACGGATATACAGTTCATCAGCACAATCACACTGCCCCAATGAGGGAAAAATAAAACACTCAATGGCCATTTGGTGGCATTCTTTTAAAGTACAATTTGTGCTTGTTTATTAGTGGATTAGAAAGCAACAACTATAAAATTAATTTAGATTCCGTATCAAATCAGGAGAACTAATTCTTTTGTGTTTTTAAATGACCAGCACCTAATTAATACAGGGCTTCCTTTCATGACCTGGCTTCATGCTTTCCCAGAGAAGAAAAAGACTGGGTTCCCGTTCCCTTAAAGCAAAAGCTAATCAAGGGGCAAATGTAATAAAGGGGATGTGACAGTACAACTGCTAGCAACCTATAAACCATTGTAATGTGGCCCCCATCGTTTATTGATGTGATCAAAAGTATGTGATACCCACTGCTGTTCCAGCATTTTGTATCTTTCCTTACATATATAGAGTGGTTTGCCACGCCTGTAATGAAAAGAAAAAAAATCAGAAAAATGGCAAGGCTGATGCAAGATAATTGGCTACTTTAAACACCACCCTCCAACTACGTCTGTCCGGGGCTCAATTTATCTTTCATTATCTTTTACTGGTGTCTTTGACTCAAGTTGGTTGGTTTATTTGCACAATTTCACTTCGGCCCACATCCCATTTTCCACCGGCCACCACAGAATCCCGCCCGTGTGCTACCCAGAAGATGTGATATTTACACACACAAATATCTCTTCATCTAGCAATAGACCCAAACCTGTTACAACAGAACTCTGTTTAAAAATAAAAGCTTCCCAATACAGGCACAAATGCCTATTATCCATATTTTAAAAAATTACCTCAGATCTCTGTCCTCTTCACCATGAGCATCCAGGTAAACAGAACCCCAAAGGCAAAACCGATGACCACGAATTATGATGATTACAGATGCGTTGATCAAAAGAAAGATACCTGTTCCAGCTCCACAATTTTGTGAGTGCTGAAATGTTATTACAGAGCAGAAAAAAAAAGAGATGACATTTTCGTGAGGAAATGAAGAGGAAAATATTTTGCTTTAAAGAATAAAACTGCATAATCTCAGAATAATCTTATCCTTGCCTCTTCTGTATCTGTAGAACAGCTCTTCTGACTTAAACTATGAACATATTATGAGCCAAAATCTGCCTTATTATCAAAGTTATAGATGATTTAGCATTAAAAGAGAAATTAATTCCAAAGAATTGTCTTTTAGACTTTTAGCAATTGGGAACCAGACTTACCAAAAAAAATATTTGTTTTTCATTCTTTCCAATAATTGCTTGATTGAACGAAGCAATTCATCTAATGCTAATTATTAAAAATATTTTCCTTTCTAAAATATTTTTTGGCAACAGAATAATTTTAAGAGTTTCTTACCAAGACACACTCACAGAAGCTCTGCCGTTTGCAGCATAATCCTTTCAAACACACAAAAGTACCACAAACTAAACAAACCGCAGGATCTTTGGGAACTTTGGAACAGTTGAAACAACTCTTTCTGTGATAGTACTGAAAAACAGTATTATAATTTTCAGGCAATTGCAGGAGGTGTGGCAAGTCCCAGGTAGCTTTTTGTATAAGTAAGACCTGAAAAAGAAGATTTTTAAAAAAGTTAAATAATATCTTTATGTGCTCTGAATATGTAATTGTTTCCTTGTGAAAGTAAGTTGGCATCTGTTTGACTTTGTCAAGATAAAACATTTTTAAGTATGTTTCTATAGATAAAGGAAGAAATCCCAGGCGGGAATGCCCATCTGGATAACCGGGTAATTTGAGGTCAAACACACTCTTCAGCTCAGTCCCTGCTTTGAGTTTTCAAAGACACCGATGGGGCTCTTCTCAGAACCATTACCTTCAGAGAAATTAAAATTCTCATTGCTTTGTCTTTTCTCTCAACCCAACTTAAATCTCTGTGTGGTTTGTAGATTTTGGTTTTTTAGGTTACTTTTCCCTCCCCAAAATACTTAATTTTTCTCTTTTGCTTTACACATCTATTGTGTGTAATCCTCAATGAAATAACCATACTTGAAAACAAGTTTAACACAGCAGCGCATTCAAAGCAAAAACTGACTTGTTTTTTAAAAAGGTCATTCAGTATACACGTAACGAGTATCACATTAACCCACTGGATACGTATTACATTACATCTTGGTATTTCCCATTGTGGCCTATGTAAAAGGAGAGTCCTGCCAATCTATGGTGGTAAAATATCAGGAGTCTAGTAGCACCTTTTCTGACTAACACATTTTATTAAAAGCCATGAGCTTTCATGAGTTTCGGTATCTGACAGCGTGACGCAGTCAGAAAAGATGCTACCCAGGCTTCTCCTGAGGAAATCTGAAAAATTGTTTACTTACCTTGACTTGGGTTAGATGCTTGTCAGCAAATGAGACCAATTCTGAACACCACTGCGATATAATGTCAAAGGCTGACACAGGCCAGTCAAGGCAAGAGGCACTAGGAAACTCTGGCGATTGAAAAGAAGATGGTAGCAAACCCAGGCAATTGGCAAGAACAGTAAATTCTTCATCTTCCTATTGAAGAAACAAAACAATCAAAAGGGAAATAACTAGATGAGATATATTCCAAAGGAAATAAAATTTCACAATACCTGGCAGCTGGGTAGCTCCCCTCCAAAGAGGTGATGCTGAAGAAGGCTGGTTATCCTGAGGAAAGGCAGGCAGAATTGCTGCAAATAAGTCTCTATGGAGTCTGGGCACCAAGCACTGGAGCTATCCTAAATTAAAAGAAACAAACAAAACAGGTGACTTTATTCTGACTTTTAGCTGTTGAACTGATAACCCCCACATGCAATTTCATAGCGAGAGGTAGTTGGCGCTAAAAAAGCTTGACCAAACGATATACATATACTATACCATATCTTCAGTTTCCTCTTGTTCCTGTTCATAAACCTTCCCTTTGAAAAGTTCACTGATCACATGGCTCAATAACACCTGACAAGACTTTTCTGCATTGATCACATTCTGTAATTAAGGAGAAAGTCACCATCAAATGAGGAAAAATAAACAAATCCAGTCATTCCCACAAAGGATTCTCAAACTGAGATCAACATTTCAATGCATTAATAAATAATCCCACCAAGAACGGTTCTAATATTCCCTTCAGTAGGGAATGCAAATCTTCTGCATATGTAGAAATGGGCCCTACAAGAGAATTCAAGTGTTTATACATCAAAGCAGCCATAATGCTCTGGACTGGATGATCAATTGGGCGGGAGGGAGGGCTGTACATCCTAATTTTCTACAGCAGGATGCCTTACGGATAAATCAACAGAGTCTTGTTTATTCAAATGTACAAACAAGAATAATGTACTTAAACAAAATTCAGACGTGGAATCTATTTTTATTTCATTGGGAAGCAACATTCTGATTGTAGGTCAGAACATTTGTGGGTGGTAAGAAGCATAATGACCTAGTAAATAGTGTCACGTTTAAGGGAACCCACCTTACATAGTATAGCACCAGCAGGCTTGGGATAAAACCAGACTTTCCCCCTGCTTGAGGCAGACTGGCAAAAATATATTCAAACCGTGTTACTGTTTGCCTGTGGCATGAATAATATAATCAAGGTTCATAACTTACTCTATAGCTTACTAACTTACTGAAAAGTATTACAGATAGCTCCAACTGACTAAAATAGGATGGATGGAGTGAAGGGAGCAGGGGCATATCAACAGATGGTTGAGCTTTTGAGATAGTGGAGCAGTCATCTGCATCCATGTGAAAACAGGAGGACAGAGACTTATTAATAAACAAGAAAAAAAGTTTGAACCCTCTATTCCAGGGGTGTCAAAATTCAATTTCATTGAGGGCTGCATCAGGGCCTTGGGGGGGGAGCAGGTGGGCATGGCCAATTCAGTGGGCACGGCCAGCTTGACGCCACTCACTGGGCATGGCCAACTGGGTGGGCGTGACCAGTTTGACACTATTCCCCAACCTGCTGGCATGTTTGCATTGAGTAGACTAGGGCGAAGCCACGCTGGCCTGATGTTTCCTCTTCACACTGGGTAGACCAGGCCAAAATCACACTGACCCAATATTTCCTTTTCACTTTGGGTAGACTGGGCTGAAGCGACGTGGGCTGGCCCCTTATATTTTCCAGGATGGCCCCATGGACTTGATCCGACCACATTGTGGGCTGGATCCGGCCCACAGGCCTTGAGTTTGACATCCCTGCTCTATTCCATCCACCATTAGGGTAGTATTTTTAAAAGGTTATGGCTCTCCAGCTCTGCTGGGTTGTGAATAAAATCTGATGGCAACATCTGATGTGGTAAGTCTGCAACATTTATTTGTCAATGTCTATGAATCCAAGCACGCAACAAAAAGTGATTGTATTCGCACAAGAATCCCAGAGGAGGAAATGGGTTGCCATACATTAACAAATCACTCCTACTTCATCTGAGTTTCAATATTCAGGAACATTCTATAGAGGGAGGTAAACACAATCTATCTTACTCAGAATTCCGCTCTTGAAGCATAGTTTGAAGTATTCAGACCGCCTTCACTTTTGTCAATTTTGTTATGCCGCAGCCTCATTCTAGAGCTATTGAAATTCATTTTTGTCATTAGTCTACACTCACTACCCCATAATGACAAAGTGAAAACAGAATTTTAGAAATGTCTGTCAATTTATTAAAAAGAAAAAAAGTGAAATATCACATTGGCATAAGTATTCAGACCTTTCATTCCGTATTTATTGCAGCACTTTTGGCAGCAATTACAGTCTCAAGTCTTTTGCGGTATGACATGACAAGCTTTGCACACCTGGACTGGGGAATTTCCTGCCATTCTTCCTTGCAAATCCTCTCAAGCTCAATCAGGTTGGATGGTGACTGTCGATGGACAGCCATTTTCAGGTCCCTCCAGAGATGTTCAATAGGGTTCAAGTCAGAGCTCTGGCTGGGGCACTCTAGTACATTCACAGAATTGCCCCTAATCCGCTCTTGAATACTTTCTGTGTGTGGTATATATAGTTAATGATGTTATGCTGCTATGGATAGAACCCATGTGGGAGCAATCGGGCATCTTGCATCAAAGTTGACTATTCAAAGTTGAACTTTTGTTAAAAATTCTAATTAGAATTTTAACATTCTAATGTTAAAAATTCCAATGGCCAGGATAAAAGAAGTAATGTAGCTGCTTTGATTTATTTCAAAGGGTTTCAATACTTATCACCTGCTTTTATTTCTGCCCAATCAGACAGACTGTTCAGTCATCAGCTAATCCCCCAAAGCATATTAGTCGTCATCCAGACAAAGTACTCAAAGTTAAAAAGGCTTTAAAGGGCTTTCTGGATATAAGGGTCTGTAAACATTGCTTTAGATTTTTTTAAAACAACGTAATAACAGTATAACAATTAAAAAGGTTTAAGTATTTTTTTGAAAACTATCATAAATAAGCTCTTAAAATATTTCAGAAGTGTTAATCTAGCTGTCCCTTGATTTGGGGTGGGTGGGGCAGGGGGACCCTACCCCAAACAACCCCCACCCCAAGCTTGTTTGTTGGGCAAACAAGTGGAGGCAGGGGCAGTCCGGGAGGTAGTGAAGGGCGGGGTGGGGTGGGGGGGTGGCTGTGTCCATGGGATCACAAAGAGTTGGACGTGACTTAGTGACAGAACAACAATATAAAAAAAATCAGATACACCATACTTTTCTACAGTAATCTATTTAATTCTAGGCAGCAGTTATTTTAAATACATGTACAGATAAATCAAATCTAGCCCCTTTATTTTCTACTAAGAACAACAGACTATTGATTGAACTAATTATGAGAAAGATTAAAAAGCTGGTCTGTTTTCAGTATATGGCAGCAGCACTCCAATTACATTTGAGAATTTACTCATTAACAGTGGGTAAAAAGCTCAAGGAATATGTGCTAAACTTTTATACCATGAGTCACTTAGTTGAGATGGGTAACTAAAGAAATTGATTGATGGACTGACTGATTAACTCATTAAATATTGACTCCTATAATGAATACATTTTAAAATAAAACTGGCAGTAATGCTGTGATGCTGTATTAACAGTTGTGCAGTGAAGTGTTATATGCCATACGTCACAGGATCTGATTTATTGCTTCTGAACACCACTGTTTCTCAGCACTGCCACAGAAGGGCAGCCTTCTATTTTCCTATCTCAGATAGCAAAGTCCATCTTTCTGATTGCATTTCTTCTCTTCTGTATGAACAAAAAAAGGGCAGTATAGTGTTTACAGGTCTATGTTTCAGCACAGACATGGATCGTGGGGCGCAAATTGCAAGACATTTGAGATGGGATCAGGGGTGGGATTCAAATAATCCTATCGCTGGTTTGCCAAAAATATGAGTGTGCGTGCATGTGCGCACAGCTTTTGCGCATGCGCGGTGAGGCTCAACTGAACAGGCATTCGGGGCCGCCTACTCCCCTCTATCTCTGCTCTCCATCTCTGCTCTCCACTGCTGCTCTTGCTGGGAGGGCAGACTGCAATTTAGCAGCTGTGAACCCCCGCTTAGGGTCCTCTAAGTCCCATCCAGAAAGCATGTGGGCCTGCAGCACAGAGAAGCAGCAGCCATGTTGATTGCGGTTTCTCAGCGCTTTCCAGATGGGACTTGGAGGAACCAAAGCGGCTGCTCACAGCTGCTAAACTGCAGTCTGCCCTCCCAGCAAGAGCAGCAGCTGCCGACCCAGAGAGCACATTGGAGCGTCTCTGCGAGCAAAGCCTCGTCAACAAGGGACGGAAGAAGCGGTGGCAAGATCTCTGCTGCAGTGCTTTCCAGATGGATCTTTTTAAAGGTAAGAAGAACCGTCCAGGACCCAAACTGCTTTGGCCCTCCTGTGCCCACGCCGCTGCCCCCCACAGCCTTCAGCCTAGTGCGGCAGGCCGCAGGCCGAATACATTGCTTTGGCTTGCGGAGCCGTAGTTTGAGGCCGGAGGAGGCAGCATGCGGGAGGAGGCCCAGGGCAAAGCCGGAGCTGGGGAATGGCACCTTCTCCAACCCAGCCAAGGTGAATGGCTGAGCTAAAAACAAAGAAATTTAGGGCAAGAAAGGACAGGGTCAGGGCCAGCCAGAGGCGGTATTTGCCGGTTCTCCAAACCACACAAAATTTTCCTGACCGGTACACCTGAACTGGTCCGAACTGGCTGAATACCATCTCTGGATGGGATCCTGCTTTTCATTTACCCCAAATACTCCAAGACTAATCAAGACAGGCTTAAAGTGTAAGAGCTGCAGAGTCCTACTGCTACATTCCAACAAAAACATTTGACTGGTGCTTAACTAAGAGACAACTACCTCCTTAGCAACCTTCTTCAGATTTTTATGAAATAAACCAACCTTTTCCAGAGCTCCTGAATTCATCCAAGTCATCTTGTCCTCTGGGCTGAATTTCATAGAAAGTGCAACTAGAGCTTGTATGTACAACAATGTGAAAAGCACTTTTATGATACAGACAAAGTGTTCTGTAACAATAGAAAAATATCATTAGACATTCTCAGGCCTCACATTTTTATATATTAAAATATGGTCCCTAATTCATAGAGTCTATAAATCTGCAAGTATTTTTCCCAGATGAGCAATCAAACATCAAGACAATTATACTGCTGAGACAACCATTCTAATTTTAAGCTTGCTGGGTTGAATCAATGTTTTATTACTGTTAGTTCATGTTATAAATTTTAGTATGTTATCTCACTATACTGTACTACTCTTCTTTATTTATTCTGCAAGTCATGTGACTAAACTGCATAAGACAATTGTTCTTGGATTGTATGAATAATTTTAACAAATCTCAACACTTTTTTCAAAACCATGTTAAAAATAAGATATCACTGCCTTTTAAATAAACTAATCTAAAATATTAATTATCTGATTATAATAATGAGATCTTTCCCCTAACAACCAAGAGCGGTAGACTAGACTGAGAGTTCTCATAACAGGCAGCACAATGAATAAACTGCATAATTAAGAGTTATTTCAATGATCAAGGATCTACCAAAAGCGGGTAGTTTTTTGTTCTCTATCCCTCAGAAACACCTAAGCTTAGTAATGTGCAGAAACAGGGGTCCCCAACCACCGGGCCGCAGACCGGTACCGGTCCGTGGAAAATTTCCTACCAGGCCACCAGTTTGCTGGGCGCCACCATCTTGTTTGACGAGAAAGTGCTTCCGGGTGAGCTTTTCCAGTTGGAAAGCGGCGTTTGGGTCCTGAAGGAATCCTCGCGCCTTAGTTTCATCGAAGGGGGGGGGGCTTCAAACGAAACTAAGGCGCAAGGATTCTTTCAGCACCCAAGGCAAGGCGAGCCGAATGACCGTCCCGAAGTGAAGCTCATCGACAAAGGTACAAAGGAGGAGTTGAAGGTGGCGGGGAGAAGCGGGGGATGGATGGATGGCCGGTCGCTCGGCTCGCCTTGCCTTGTCATGTGTGCTGATGCCGGTACTGGGCCGCGGATCATTTTGTGATGCCGGTACTGGGCCGTGGCACAAAAAAGGTTGGGGGCCACTGTGCAGAAAGATATAATTACAGATATAACAATTCCATAAGCCAAATCATCTTTCAGAATTTGTCTTCTAGATATTCACAGAACCCACAGATTGTTTGGAATGTTTCTATATCATTTTTTAAATTTAAATATTTCCTGAAATACTGCAGCCAGAACTGAAAGGGTGCTTGCTAATATGAATGCAGCACACTTTACGGTTATCACTATAGCATTCTATGCTAAGTTTCTCATAATTTAAATTAAATAGGATTGGCCTTTCTTCTGCAAATAGTTCATGGTATAATGCTGGATTTGTGCTAAATAAGCTTGCTTTAAGAACAAGTATCTGTGCTTGCAATTTGCTGAACTCTAGCTCTGATATCGTTAATCCATGGCCATGTTGGTCAAAACAAATGGAGTTCTAGTTAGGCATCATCAGAAGGAGCAGATGTTTTCCATCCATATATTGAATACTGTATCCCAGAGTTCTCCCTACCAAGAAGTAAAACTTAATAACAAGCTTCCACGCTACCTTAACTTTTTATTTCTCAATTTGCCCAATTTGAGGTTTTCTTCCCATCATGTAACTATCTTTACCTCATTGACCTGTTCAGTTCCCAGACAACTGAACACATGATTCCACCATATTAGAAGCTAATAAATATCAGAAGATTCATCGCCATGAACAGATCTAAATAAGAGCTAGATTAAGTAGGATGCTACTCACACTTGAGTGTGAGCCTATATATACACATATATGCTAAATGTATGAGTGTATCACTCTCTCTGCATGTGTCTATGTGTGTGTAAACAGAGACACACCAAAGCTACAGTATTTGCGAGCAGGTGTACTTATGAATGGAACTGGATGGATGGAAGGAGAAGGGAGAAATCCTTTTGTTTCTGCCATAATCCTAAACCAGATTCCTCTCAGGTGTAACCTTTCATAACCCTTACTTTAACTAACTGCCTCCCTAAGGCTTTATTTTTTATCTTTAGACAAGTCTGATCTTCATTTATTCATAGAGAAAAAGAATTCTTGCACAGCTGATTATGCCTTTAAAGGAACTCAGCTGAGGTATAAAATAAATCATAAGAGTGAAGCCAACAGCATGTCAACTGACTATAAAAAGTGAAATGTTTCTTTATACTGTAAAAAATAACAGAATGTATCCTGTAATATAGATGTGCAAAAGGAATTAGGTTAGCCTTTTCAAATCATAAAATTAAAAGCTTTCAAAATATGCAGTAATAAATAATTCCTGCTTCCAAGATATCTTCAAACTCCAATAAAATGCTTGAATATATATTCATACCACAACCATTACAAACACTGTATTATAGCAGTTACCACTGTCCTCTGTGCCAAAAATGCTAGTTTGCATAATAAAAATATTCATCCTCTCCACTCTCCAGTAATCACAATTCATTGCGAAATATTCAATACTTTTATTCAGCAAACAAGTGAAGGAAGGTCAAAGGGGAAAAACCTTTCCATGCTCCTGCAACTCAAGGAATTTAAAGACATTTTTTGGCCTCATGGTCTCCCTCCATTGTTATTTGATAAAGCAGAGAAGACAAGTCTTCCAGATATGGCTGCCAAAGTTGCAACAAAAATTCTGCCTGCTGCCAACCTCTAGAGATAAGGTAAAATCATTCCTAAAGCATACCAAGCAAAAAAGATTGGCTGCAATTCTCAAAAATTGCAAGAGAGAGATAAGTTACTGCCCTCTGTCTATTATTTATGTAACTTTTGTAATGTACCTTTGCGCAGTGGCTGAGGCATGGTTAAGATCTGGATGAGCAAAAGAGATGGGACATCCTTATAAAGCACTGGAACCTCTGGCTGATCGTCACTGCACATGCTAACAAAAATACATGCCGTTAAAATCCACATTAATTTTCTCCAAATTTCAATACATTTCTCGATCCATTGCTTTTTGATTCTAAGTATCAAATATAACAACATTAGTTAAAAGTAAAATTGGAAATATTTCGATTGAGATGGAATTTATTTCACCTTGATTATCTAATCATATTTGTTACATGTGAAGAAACCAAATTAAGTTTGAATGCAGTGGGAAAGTGTTATTTAAGAACTTTGTGTGATAAAACAAGAAAAGATAGACTCAAAAGAATGAATTGGCAATAGATGAATGCAGATTCTGAACAAAAGTACAATATAAGTACTTTTGAAAATGGGACAAATGGAAAAACCAACATGTGAAGCAAATTGAAGCAAAAACCAACACATGAAGCAAATTGTACAAGCAAAGCTTTGCTTAGCCTATAAAATGGCTTTCCTGCTGATTCACCAAACTTGCTGTAAAAAACATTCAATAAAAATTCATGGTTATATGAAACTCCGATTGGCATTCTAACTTCCTGAACTTAAAAATAACCCTTGTGAATAGCCATGTAAATGTGAACACAGGGATTGATAAGCACATTTAAAATGACTATTATAGTACTGCAAATAAAACTAACCCAATTTATATTTTTGCTTGTATTCTCAATAATTTGCAACATTCATTTCTCTTTCAGGTATATTTTAACAGGCTACTCAACTTTCTTAAATTAAACAGAACTTGATCGTCACAAAAACAAATGATGCATTTAGTTCCTTCACTAGAAATGAAAGTAAAATTCTAGAAAATGCCAGTTTAGATATGCTCTTTAGTTTACGACAAGCATCAGAGTAAATTAAGCCTTAAATCGACACTGTCATATATTAAAAGCGTAAGCAATTTCTTCATTGTGATATGGAAGCTGTCCTTTAAAAGTCTGTTTGCAGTATAGAATATCTACTCTACTAATCCCTTCAATGGCTGTGGGACAAGTTGATAAATATAGCTTTGCAATACACCCATAGAATCAGTTAGTGAGGGACAAGCTCTAATGTTTTTCAAGGAAAAAGACCTCAATTATTACATATTGAGCAAAAAAAATACCAAGTTGGTTTAAGAGCTTGTAGATTCCAAATTCAGAGAAATTGACAACATTTCTGGGAATCATGGCTGAACAAAAAAGGCAGGTTTCCTTATTGCTGACTCAGATTTCCAAATGCAACCTATATAAATAAACTATGGCTACACTGAGCTAATAAGAAACAGTTTGATTTAGTGGTGAAGGCACCAGGCTAGAAGCCAGGAATCTGCGAGTTCTAGTCCTGCATTAGGCATGAAAGCTGGCTGGGTAACTTTGGGCTAGTCACTCTTGATGTCAGCCCAAGTCCTTGGAGATTGAGTAAAAAAAAATGGGACGCTGGTATGGTGCAATTCAAGGGCCATGCCACATGCTAAATAAGGGCATCCTCATTTAATGGGCTTAAGTCTCACATGTTTCCCAGAGATATTCTTTGTCATACAGGCTAAAGTTCAAGGATTTATTGAGAAGAATGCTCATCTACTCGGGGAAAAAAAGGAAAAGGTTAGGGGAGGATGGTAGGGACATCATGGGGTGGGGGAAGCAACTGCCCAATTTTCTCGTAAATACGCATTATGTGACTAGACACAACTACCATAGTGGACATTATGTGACTATGCAAGAGAGCAGCTATTTGTCTGAAGAACTAGAACATGTTCTCCAAACTCCAAGGATTTTCTGTGTTTTTGCTAACTCAGGATTTTTATTTAATAAAACAATGAGCTTTCAAACAAGCCATAGTCACTCTTGAAATAAAGCTCATCCTGCATTTGGCCAATGCTTTTCTAGGGGTGTACATAACATGCTTCAATTAATCAAGGAACACAAACAATATTGCTAACTAGGTAGGTCTGATATTGTCTGATATAAGGGTTTTATGCAGTCTGGAAGGCTTTTTTTAGGGATTATACTACTGTTTTATGCATCCTGCATCCAAGAAAATGCAAAACTAATTTTCGCAATTATGGTATGTTGAGGGGATTTTGGACACCAGTTCAGAAACTGCATGCAATGCTTGAGGTTGTGGTTGTTATCTTAAACAGGATTATGTAACTTTCCTTGATTAAAACAAGGTGAATATTAAAAATGTCTGTGTACTTACTCCAATTCTTCACCCTCTATCAACCGTGTCAGTTTCTTCCATGGATTGTAAGCAGAATCAATGCTGTAGAGTCTCATGTGCATAGCCAACACATGAAACAGCTGATCTGTAGAAAGAGAAATGAAGGGTTTTTTTAGATGAAATTTCTCCATTTTATATCCCTTTGAAAAGGTTTGTTTAGCATTTTTTAATGTTTGCTTCCTTAAGCCCCGAGTTTGCTGGAACAAGACTTGAAAAATTAATTCCAATCCTAGATAAAATAATGAAATACTACTGCCATGACTGAATTTCTCTGGTGCTACAGGTGAACACTTCAGGGGTTCTATTTACAAGATCAGAGTTACAAGATACAATGGCCCGATGCTGGGCTGCAGCCTGTTCAGAACCAGGGTACAGAAGTGGTGTGCAAGTACGCGCAAAGCTGAATTTGTGAACGCGGTGTGCACATACATGTGAAACCGTCTCCTCTCCCTCCCCCTGCTGCCACTGCCACTTCCGCCAATCTGCTGAGCTGGAAAGGCTGGAGATTGCTCGTACAAGATATTCTCCGTTTCATGGAGTGCTTCCATTTCTCAATCTTTCCCATTCCTAGCAAGAATTCCTTAGAACTCAGTCTTGGGTATCTCTTCATTTTCTTTATGTAATCTACCTCGAGGCTCTCTGATTTTATATATCAAATTCTGCTACTACGTTTTTGCTAAATGACTTTGAGATTCAGAATGGGACAACTCGCTGCAGGAAAACTCAAAACTACAATTTAATTATTTAAAATAATTTCATTTGTCCTTCCCATAGGATCTTTTCTTTAATGATTCTATTTCACTGTTTCTTCAATATTAGTGTAACTCTTATCCCACAAAGAGTAGTCCTATGGCCACTTGTCCTAGACCTTTGAGATTTGCCTGTCACTGCCTTGGATGACACGACACTGCATTGCTCTCCAACTGCCCAGGCAGGATTTGAGACGGAATGTGCTATATCACCTTTAACTGAACACTGAATAAGACTAAGAAATTATTGTACTTTAGTTTGTTCATCTCATCATTCCTCTAAATGTACCTTATGTTGGATTTCAAGGTTGCCAGTTACAGATTCCCCCCATTTGTAAGAAACATAACAATCCAAATTGAAAAATATCCTTGCTACCTCCATGGGAAAAAAGCTTTAAGCATTAGAACCTCACTACTGGGTTAGGCAAAGCTTTTAGTTCATGCTTTACTCTTTGTGCTTGAATTAATGTAGCAAGCTTAGGGGTAGGTTACTCAAGAGTTTATTCTAGTTCTTGATGTTGCTATTCATTTTATTTTTGACCTTCCTTACATTGCCTTCACCTCTTTTTATTGCTAATATTGCATTAGTTGGAAATTCAAGTAAGATACTAACACAAATTACCAGGGTTGATGAATTACACACACAATTATTTGAAAGTCTTGTTGTTGGCTCACATCCCTGCACACTTAACTCTATTATCAGTCCATTTGCTACTACCATGTTGTGAAACAGCCACATCCCAACAAAGAGCTTTTTCTCAATTGATCTGGGGTTTTTGTTTTTTTGGAATAAATTTAAATCAAGATCACATTTGGCACCTAATCACTGAAGGCTTAAAAAGCATTAAAAATGGTTCTTTTTCAAGGGCCCCCTGCACAGTTGCTTCAAAATCAGTCATTCGATACATTTTTATCTGATACTTCATATATTCCAAGTTAATATAAATGCCACAGACATTTCAGTTTACATGCTTATTTTACATTATAATGGATTGTAAAATATCAGGGCTTTTAAAAAGTCTATGTTTGTATACATCCATAAAAAGCCAAATTATTATTATCACTGCTTTTGCTATATACCAATGGATGGATGTACAAACAGATCAGCCAAAATACTCTCTGCTATTTATTCTGACATCTAAAATATAGCCCAGCTGTGCCTGTAGGCAAGTCTAGATTATCTGTTAATTTTTATGCAACCAAAGCCCCCATTTTATTCCCTGTTCAGAATAAAGATGTTCAAGAGGAACTAAATAAAACAGGATGCTTGAGGTTTAATTTTTGTTCGGATCTACAGATCCAAGCTGATATAAAAATTATACAAAATGAACTCAGGGAAATAACAATACTTCATATTATTTCCCTTCTATTTAAACTAGGTAATTTCTCATTCAAATATAGATCTAATCAGAATTACTCTGTAGATGGGAAACCCATGAGCTGTTTTCAAATTTCCCCCACACATTTCCATGCACAGATAGTCCTCACCGTACAACTATTTGTTTAGTTGAAAGTTACAACTGTACTGTAAAAAGTGAGTTATGACCATTTTTCACACTTATGACCATTGTAGCATTCCCATGGTCGCAGGATTTACATTTGGATGCTTGACAACTGATTTACGTTTATGACGGTTGCAGGATCTTGGGGTCATGTGATCACTTTTTGAGACCTTCTGACAAGCCAAGTCAATTAGGTTTTTTTTTTTACTTAACTGTATTACTAATTTAACAACTGAAGTGATTCACTTAACACATGTTGCAAAAAAAGAAAGGTCGTAAAATGGAAGAAAACTCACTTAATAAATTTCTCACTTAGCTACATAAATTCTGGGCTCCATTGTGGTTGTAAATTGAGGACTACCTGTATATTTTGATTCAATTTTAATATAATCCAGGCAAGGGGCCATGTGCATTTTACTAAACTGTTTCTTTCAGAGGAATGCAATGTATTTTTAGTTGGTATCAGTACAGAGGTGCTCTGATTGTTATTTTTTTGTCCCACCCAAAAAACTTATTTCTACTTTCTTTTTATTTTATTTATTACTTCAGTTTCTAGCCTTTTGTCCCTACCTCTTGTAGAGGCTCTTAAAAATGCTACGTGTAAATATAAATCACAGAAGGAATTAATTTATTTTCTACAAATAGACAATTATTCATAGACACTTGGGAGGCCAAAACAGGCTCATGCTGAAGTCAGCTGCTTCATGTAGAGCTTGAAGGCTGTAATTAACTTCTTGGTTTGCCAAATAATTGTATACACAGATGACATTGGAACTAAGTGCTGTCACCTGTTTTCTGAATCAGCAGCAGTGAATTAGGACAAAATGAGCTCCCATTCAAACTGGCAAGAGATGTTTAGTGAACATTCATTCCTTTGTTCTTTGGCTTGTATACATTTATATAAGCAATGACCCACACACACCCAGGCTAAAAAAAACCCACTCCTTTGGAAATGGTGAGGTTGTAGCTGTAGAACATAAAGCTGCATTTTTATTGGGGGTGGAACCCTTAGATCAAGAACACCATCCAGGTGAAAGGCAAAAGGGAAGGATTGCTGTTTTTGCTTATGCTCTTTCTTCTATTCTGTGGAAGAAAGAGCACCTTCCGCAGAGTTCTAAAGGGTTCTTCAACTCTCTGGAAAACAGCCCGCTTCAGTTTTCCCGTCACAAAACCTGTCACCAGATGGGGCACCATTAGATATACCTCTCAGTATTGGTTCAGTTGTAGTACTTCCAAGCACAGTTTAGCATAACCATAGACCGGTGCATTTTTTCTCTGGCTATTTGATATTACAATTTTATACACATAAATTCCCAGCAATTTTTGTCTGCTTTTTATCTAACAAGCTAGCATATCATGATTTGCAGGAATGGTAGAAAAAATTCTGCCATATGGCTGAAAACTTCTTAGGAGACCAAGTGAAAAACTTGTTTGTTCACTCGACACCATCCATAGCTAGTACCAATGGACTTGCAGTATACTTTGTTTATATTTCTTTTTTTTTTGTGGATTGATATCTGTTTTCATTACAAAAGGGAACAATGATCAGGGTCACTTCTACTTCTTTATAATTATGAGAACTGTGGTGGTGCAGTGGTTAGAATACAATACTGCCAGCTACTTCTGCTACAGCCGGCTGCCTGCAATTTGACAGTTCGAATCTGACCAGGCTCAAGGTTGACTCAGCCTTCCATCCTTCCAAGGTGGGTAAAATGAAGACCCAGATTGTTGGGGGCAATATACTGACGCTGTAAAATCACATGGAGAGGGCAGTAAAACACTGTGTAGCACTGTGAAGTCTACAGTAAGTGCTACTGCTATTATTCTAAGCAAACATTACATTGTTCCACACCAAGAAAAAAACATATTGACCTGTTTCAAGGTAAAATGTGCTACTCTCGATACCATGTTCTGTAACTACCAAAGAAAACCAGATTGTTGTAGATAAAGAAAACACACAAATAAATTTAATTCATTCATTTCCTGGTACAAATTGCATTTACCTTTTCTTAAAACTATCTGCAAATATTAAGGTTGAAATCTTAATTACTTCTTGGTGGAACAACTCGTAAAACCCAAAGGCATTTATTTTTAAGTACAAATGCATAGAATTCCATCAGTTATCTTATGGTGGCACTTCATATTTTGGACTTCCTGCACTTACATACTGATTCAGAATAAACCTATATTTAGTTATATATGACCTCTAAGCAGCATAATACATCAAGAAATGTTGCAAGTGAGACCAGGTCTCACTTCTGCTTATGAGACATAGAAGAACTAGCAAGAACTACTCAGGTTAGAATATTAGTACCAAATTAGCTTCACCTAGAACCCATATGTATAATTGTTATTATAAAGAAAATAACTTATATAATAACTTTAAATAACATTTTAAAAACACTGATTCATGCATTATGTAATTTCATTTTTTCTTTCACCAGAGGAAAAAAGGCAAACATTGTCCCCTAATGGGAACATGGTACTAAAGAAAAAGGGCAAGAAATGTGCCTTCTTTCTTTAAAAGTACTGAATTTGCAATTCTAAAAAAGCTTCTATACTTTTTACTAAATCATTACCATTAGCACTTCTAGTCAGCTAGATGGAATTTAACAGCATCCACATCGCTAAATTCTGCTATTTTTAGATGAATATACCACAGGATATGTGGTCTTTGGTGGACTCAACAAGACCTAACAATAGATGTTAGAAATTTAGATACTCTGACTGCCATACTTTTTTTTTTCAAGCAGGCCTAAATAATAGTTTTTTTAAAATGTTAGGTTTTTTTGTATTTTTACTGTAGAGATTTTACTGTACTTTTAAATTATAAT